TGAGAAAAGGAAGGAAAAGTGAGAAGGTCACAGGAGCAGCAGAAATGTTGATAGGCTGAAAAATAGGTTAAATAAGTGATTTCTTTACTTGCTTGTTCTTATCCCTGTTAGATTCTATGGAAAGCTAGGTATCCATATACAGATTTATCTCTAAATATAGGCATCATAAAATTTTCAAAATGGGTGCAGTTGGAAACAAGTGCCACACAAAATGATATACAAAGAAAGTGATTCATGACACTAGAAACTTTTTTTTAAGGTGTCAGGTTTTGTTTCTGCTTGACAATTGATTTCCTAATGTACTTCTTGCTGAGAAATTTCTCAGCACATTTTCTAAGTGCTAAAGTTTTAACAAGCTCTCTCCTTATAAATGTCTTCTTCAAAGAGCCAGTATTTCTGAAAGTTCATGTACTTTGACCAGGGAGTAAAACAAGCAGTTTTCTGATTATCTGATGACCCAACATTCCTGTTGGCTGCAGGAGGCAACATGTCTAAACGATCTTCTGTTTACTGTTTGGTTTAGAAACAGGAATATTTGAAGGCCAAAAAGTATGTTGAACTTTACATAGCTGTAGACCACACAGTGGTAAGTATCCTAGATATCATTCTATTTTCTTTCTGCATTGAGCACAAAAATTTGTTTCTGTCTTTTTTAAGGTGGACATTCTTGGTTTACTGTTTGGTTTAGAAACAGGAATATTTGAAGGCCAAAAAGTATGTTGAACTTTACATAGCTGTAGACCACACAGTGGTAAGTATCCTAGATATCATTCTATTTTCTTTCTGCATTGAGCACAAAAATTTGTTTCTGTCTTTTTTAAGGTGGACATTCTTGAAGACATTACCAAACACAACATTCTAACTGGATTTTATCTTAAAGTGTTCTTTATAATGTACTCTGATAATGTTATTTGACCCAACCAGTATTTACAACATAAGAGATGTGTGAAATTTAACTATTCTCTATTCTGCATATTTGTCCTTCCTGGACTCAATCTAAATTTTAATAATAGTTTCTCCAGAAATGTCAGATCAGGAAGTTGAAGTTAGTTAACATGGAGAAGAGTATATGAGATTTTGAAATAGAGAAAAGAGCTAAGGAGAACCATCACACGCCTCTTCTCCCTGGGCAATCAACATTCTCAAATCCAGAGCAAATGTAATGAGGAGAATTTTGAGTTAATCAGTGGGTGGGTGGGCAACTCTGTAGTATGTTTCACTTTCCTGTATTTTCTCATTTATTTCAAAACGGTTAAATTCAGTTTGTTGAACTTGCACTGAAATATAAATATATACTTTGGCATCCATGCCTCCCAACATACTTTTTTGTTTATACTTCTGCTTCATACAGTTTTTGCAAATACATTTCCCTAACAGAAAACATTTTAAACTTATTTTTATGAATATATTTGAAATTGATTTCCTTCATATGTGTGTGTGCATGTATGAATTTCAACCTAACTGAATTTCAGTTAAGGAATTAGTTCAAGAAGTCAAAATTACATACTGTAATTTTCATATTCCAATGAAAATTACATAAATTTCTCCCGTACCACTGGCTCTAACACATTCTAGCCTTTGGATAAAAGACAAGAG